GCACGCATACAATTTTCTAGAGATGAAAGTCTTCTTTATTTATATGGAAATACAGATATTTGAGTGATGTTTTTATGGTCCTTTGGTGCTTGCATTTTCTGAATTTTTTAAAAAAAGTCCACTTTCATCTCTGAATCTATTCCATATGATAATGATTTGATCTGGTATTTTTTGTCTCAGGTGTTGGGGTATTAGAGGGTCCAATGTATGCAGTAGGGGGCCATGATGGCTGGTCCTACCTGAACACAGTGGAGAGGTGGGATCCCCAGGCCAGGCAGTGGAGCTATGTGGCCCCCATGTCCACACAGAGGAGTACTGTAGGAGTCACTGTCATGTGTGGGAAGTAAGCACTATTCTGTTTGTGTTTGTGTCTGCGCCATCTGGTGGACACAGTGAAAATTATTAAGACCTCAGCAGAAAGCTGAAACTTCTTTCAGACCGTTTATGATATCTTTTATCCAGTATTAGAATATCTAAAGTCAGGGTGAAATCACACAATTTAAAATTAAAAAAAAAACAACATTATATTAAAAGCATATGATAGAAATAGACTAAGAGTGAAATTATTTTTCAGTTTTCAAGGATTCTAGTAAAAATGCATCTATAATATGGTAATCCCTTGAAATATCGAAATGTCACACTCATTTCATTATTTCACTTTTGAAAATGTATCATTTTAGTCACTAGCAAAATGCACTTCTTGACATGAAGCCAACTCCCTTTTTAGAGCTTCTTAATCAATGCACAAAATATTGTTTTGGAGAATAAAATCAATTTATTTTGTTCAATTGAAGCAAGTAATTATACTATCTAATATGATGTCCAAAATTTTCAGATTGTATGCAGTTGGAGGTCGTGATGGCAGCTCATGTCTCAGGTCCATGGAGTGTTTTGATCCCCACACCAACAAGTGGAACCTCTGCGCGCCCATGTCCAAGAGGCGTGGTGGGGTGGGTGTGGCCTCTTTTAACGGCTTTCTCTATGCAGTGGGCGGCCATGATGCTCCGGCCAGTAATCCAACTTCCAGTAGATTTGACTGTGTTGAAAGGTTAGTTATAGTGTAAAGGGTAGCTGGTAAGAATATAATTCTCGGATATGCCTTATTACAGATAACTATATGGAACATAGTAGCTTTCACCAACTCTGAAGGATGTTATGTTTCACCTACTATGTAGATAAGATCATATTAATTTTCATTCAATACTTTTACTGTATAAAGACGGCATTGAATGTATGAATTATTAATATTATTATTATTATTAGATTAGTCATCCAGTCATGTTTTTCATAAATAGTAGTACTCATATTATACACATTATATATATCCTATTATTTTCTAAACCCCAGATATGACCCCAAGACAGACGTATGGACCACGGTGGCCCCTATTAGCTCTATGAGGGATGCTGTGGGGATGTGTGCCCTGGGGGACAGGCTGTTCTGTGTGGGAGGATACGACGGGACGCAGTACCTCGCTGATGTAGAATGCTACGATCCAAATACCAATGAATGGACAAAGGTAGGTTTTAAACAACTAGGTACCCAAATCTTCTTCTTTTTTCTTCTTTCCATGTTACTTATTTCTCTTAAGTCTTATATATTTAAGTTTTTTTCTTTCCATGTTCATCTCATCAGTCAAATCTAAGTTCCATAAATAAATCAACAGACTTTATGTAACAATTAAAATCCAGCTCCCAAATCATCCAGATTTTATTCTCTCAGGATAAAGAAATGTTTTCAAACAAGCCTGAGCTACACCCAGATGAGGAGGTTCAAAGGTGACGGAGCTCAAGATGACATGCTTTGGGGACTGATTTAATTATTGATGGATTATTCTATAACAGATGCATGCTTCTCATACAGGTTCATTAGTTCACATTAAATAAGCCTGGTGTGTCTCTTATCTTATGGGCATCAATTTTGCTTAAAAAAATTCTTTGTTATTGAATTAATATTTGTAAATATATTTGTAAAGACTTCATTATATACAGAAAAGATGAATTTGACACAATATATTGTGACAAAAATTCTAGCAACCCCCCCCCCCCCCCCACACACACACACCCAAAATATATTCTGCCAAAATATTATCTGCAGTCAAAATTACTTCTTTCCTTTTTTTTTCCTGAGCTTGCATATCTGCATAAGCATCAAGATATACATTCTACTTAAATTGTGTTATTCTTAGCCATAATACAGCGGGTGTAACATGCTGTGTGTGACCGTGATTGTTTTCTGGTACACACAAAGTAGATTGCACAGACCCATGATGAGAAATGAGTTTCTTCACAACCTTGGCTCTCTGGGGAAATAAATGAAAGTAAATGGTTTCCAATTTGGGAGCTGGATTTTAATTGTTACATGAAGTCTGTTGATTTATTAATGGGACTCGGGTTTGATTGATGAGATGAACATGGAAAGAAGGAAAAAAACTAAATATATGAGACTTTAGGGAAATAGGCAGAATTATGTTTTGGCTGGAAAACTTGGAAGGGGGTTTCTTGAAGAGATTTGGTACCTTATGGTGTCGGTAATATATGTAACCACCTTTTGGGAGCAGTTGTTGATAAAAATTTGGATTTTCTGAGTGTTCAGTGGGCTGATGTCAGTATTATAAAAGAGTTATATTACTGAAATGAGTCCTTGCAAGTGTTGCAGGTAATTTGTGAAAAGTGCATAGCACTAAAGCATTCACTAAGAGGGCATTCAAGTGCTTCTTTATTTGCAGTTGATTTCCATGTCATTTCCTTGACTTGTTGTGCTTCTTTCAGTATATAACTTCACTTTTCACATTTTACCAATAAGATGAATCACACTGGCATACACACACACACACACACACACACACACAATGAGAATGGGCAATGATTCAATCAAAACTCACCACACACGAACCCATTAGATGGATGACTAGTAATCTCTTCTGTTAATCCTAATTTTAACGATTGAGAATTAATTGCACTTTCTCTGCTGTCTGTGTGTACTGCAGCACAGAATTGCTGTGTTGAGCTGTGAGTGATGGATTCCCCAGTTGACAGATTACTCTCTCCTACTAATTTGTTCTTCAGAGATCTGGAGCTTTTGTGCAAATCAGAAATAATGAGCCTGCTCAGTTGACAGGCTTCTGATGAAGACTGGGTCAAGGTCAAGGCAGTGATGACATAGAACTGAAGAGCTCTCCAGAGACCCAGGTGTCACAAAGTGTGTTAAAACTCACATTCATGCATGGTACACCACATCTGGGTCTTTTGTTCTAGCCATCTACCATGGTTTTAAAAACATATAAATATACTCAAAAATGACCAACATTAAATTTTACTGTTTTCGTTTTACAAAACTTGTCATTCAGTGTGATGTATCTCTATTGTTTCAGGTCTCTCCATTGTGCACGGGGCGTGCAGGTGCATGTGTGGTTCACATACGGCACACACAGCTCATTTGACAGGAGGCTTGCGGGTCACGGTACGGGGCCTCGCTGTGGCCCGCAGATGGAAAATGCAGGATCTCCCCGGCTCAGAGACGCAGCCCCCGTCTCACCCCCACGCTACCTCTAAATTCCGTATTCCTGGGCAATGAGAGCGACTCTTCTGGATCAGAGGGGGAGCTGTTCAAGAGGTCTTTACGAATTATAAAAGAAGAGCAGCCACCACCTTTAGAGACGGCACTTTGAAGGAGAAGTGTATGTTAGAGACGCGGCTCTCATTTCCACAGTGTTAACATGGCTTCCAAACTTGCACACTCAGAGGAAAATTCACTTAGAAAATTTCTCACACAGCTTGCTATGTGATCCAAAAGTCTTTTGCTGTAGTGGGAAGATGTTGCCAGCTTCCATTTTGATTGGCTGTGAATGGCCTTTTAGAAGTATATCAGGCTGTGGAACTGTGCTGCCATCTATATTTGAAAACTGGTTTCACTTTGCCATTAGTGTGCATTATGGTCTTTCAGAGAATTGAATATGGCCCTGGTAAAACTGCAGTTTACATTCAGCTGTTATGTCTTATCTTTTTGTATTTTCCAACTGAGATCATAGAAGGGTTCATGTTGAAGATATTTCTTTTCCGTCGAACATTGTTAACATCAGAAGCTGTGCTTCATTGTTGAAGTATGCACCCATGCACCTGTTCTGAAATATGCAATCAATTTTTAAGAGTGCCTTTCTTGAATGCACGGCGTTTCCACACTCTCGTCTTCTCAATACTGACAGAGTCAGTTTATACACGCTTTTCTGATTGTGATCTCAATCTTAATTGTTTGAGTGATATGGTTTACAGGTGAAGAAAAGTGAAGGGGAGAGGGGAAAAATGATGCAGTGGGCAGTAATGATGAAGAATGTGATTTATATTGATATCATATTCTAATGAGGATGAAATACTCTCTTGTTATTATATTTATTAGCGTCTGATTTTGCAGCATAATTAGATCTGTCCATGAAGCTTGGGAAGAACTAAGTACAGGAGAGCTGGTATCTTCTAAAATATTCACATATTTTTTAAAAATCTCATAGTGAAACTCTAGTGAAAGAATATTTGTATGTATTATGAAAGATCAATCAGACGACATTTGGCTGCATTTTGGCAATAATTTAATGACCTTTGTTCAAGTAGTCTGCTATGGGACAGAGTAGAAAATATTTTATTTCAAACTTTGAACATAAGCCCAGCAAATCAGAGCAGTCATGATAGTCTTATGCGTTTGATGATTGTTTGGCATATTTGTAGCATTAAATGTGCTGAAGAATCTAGACTCAGCAGCTAGTTTTTTCGTTACCCATGCTTTTTTGATTTAGCTTACTAACAATTGGTAGGGTGTAATCCACTTATGTGAAGTAGCCAATTTTGATGTATGCCTGAATCCTTCTGTGAAGGAAAAGTTTCAAAATATGTCATCTGTAAATACTGCAAGGTCATCCTTGCCATCTTGTTATAGTTAATATCAACAGGTTATGGCTTCTTTTGTAAATATGTATTATACTTCATCAAGCAATAAGTGGTGAAAGCAGGTGTTTTTTATTCTGGAGAATGTAAGGGAGTTTTAATTTCCAAGGTGATCTGAAGAAGAGAAAAAAAATTGAAAAAGGTCAAGCAAAGGCAGCTTCAGTTAAGTAAGGGAACATTTTAGGCTCAACAGATTTAACCTAGGGAAGTATAAGATTTTGAACCTAGTACCCAAAGATGTGACAGTAGAGACAGGTAATTAGTGATGTTATTTTCATCCCAAAACATTTCAGAATATATCCTCTTTTTGGTCAGTAAACCCCAGTTGCTGTGAAATGGAGAACCATTCTGTACCTGGGGCTAGAGAAGAGCAGTTTCACCAGTGATATTGGGGTATATTTCTTTGTTTTTCATTTTATGATAGTTTAAAATTCAGTTTCAATCATGGACAGAACGGACAGGCTGCTTTTGGTGGCTTTTTGACATATAACTAGGACAAAGCGCAAGTTTACTGCAACTTTTGTCTTCATTGTTATGATGCAGGGACCTGTATCACACAAAAAGTTTTTGAACTTAAGTTTTACTGCTAAAGTTGGACAGCAGACAGTGCAGTCCACTTTCCCGTATTGACTTAGGAGCTTTACGAAAGATGGTCCACAATAAATGTATTTGAAATTCCTAAATGGGCTAAAGTTGCCACTGAGACCATCACAATGCATGTATGAGGCTAAGAAAAAAAGACCAAAAATAAATTGAGCAGCCTTTGTGTAACACGATTTAGGCTAAGATTTCAGTCTAAAAGCTGACTTGAGACTTTTTGTGAAATGGGTTCCTGCTGTCATACCAAGTTGATTTAAGAAATCCATCAAAAGTCACTAGGCAGCCAGAATAGAGGCACCGTTGCTCCTTAAGATATCTGGTCATGTGCTAACACATTTAAGACCTCTTTGCAGTCAAGAATATTTCTTGTCTAAACACATATGATGTCAAGAGGTCATATCAGTATTTCATTGGTCTATATGTTGTGTCAAGTGCAACAAATGCTTTGACCCCCTCAGTCGTGTTTCTCACAAGTGCAATTGTATTTGTAAACTGTTATAACATTATATGAACACAGTTAAATTTAGTAATAAAGTTTCAAAATATATTACGTTTTTGTTTGTGTTTGTTTAAAGAATGCAATCATATCTATATAACAGTAAAACTATCACGTGGCTTTCACTAAATTTTGCAGTTTATCAGTTGTCTGAAATATCTAGGTCCATCAGCAAATGATTAACATGTTCCAAATTGATATAAGTTGATGGAAAGGACATCAACATTTGAAAATGAATAGATTTGCCTGCAAATTAAAAAACGAGACTTGTCATGTTCACTTTGTAATAATACTAAGCATGAATGTGTATTTAGAATTGGACATTGTAAATGGCACAGCTCTCTCTGGCCATTATGCTACAGTACGTGTCCATCAGTTTAAATTACATATCAAAACTTACCTGCCATCTAAACATCCTGGTATTTATATCTCTGCAATGAGAATTTTACAATGATGGTACAAAAAATCTGGCAAGTCTGCCTTGCTTAGAGCCATGGATACTTTCAGGTTTACATTTAACTATAATACTTAGTAGAAATGGACATAACAGTAGCTCTAGTCAGGCATGTATTTATGCTACAAATACAGCAACGTACATATATACAATAAGTATGTACACTTTTAAAAATAAATTTAAACTTTATAACATAAGAAACATAAATGTAAAACTGTACATAATCACAGCATTTTAGGTTTGGTGTTTTGGCGCCTTTAAAGTGTCTCTCTCCAGCCTCCCCACCCAAATAAAGTATACTATTCATTTGTCCCAAACTATGACAATGTTCTCACCTCTCATCTTAAAAAACCTGGTCATTTCACCTTTAAAATATGTTTTTATAATAATAATCAAAATCAAAATTTTACGTGGACTTTTCATTATGATTGAATTAATGGATTTCTGAGATCATATCACAGATTAATGTCAGTACAGTGCATGTGGCCACAGGGTAATTGTCTTTACTTAGAAATCTTGGAATATTTCTGCATGTAGCCCTGTAAATTGTGGGCCTGGAATTCATGAGTATATTACTGCATATTGTTAACAAAACCTGCAACTCTTTCATTCAGGGGTCTCTTATATTAATACTATCTCATTTGCTATGTGACCCAGGCTTGAATGTGACAGAGTTGGCATCGATGGTGGCTCTTTTCTTGCTTTGGATTTCGATAGCATATTTATAGTCAGCAATGGCTTCTGCTTTCTTCCCGAGCTTTCCACGGACATCTGCACGCCTTTTGTAAACCAGAGCATCATCAGGTTGCAAAGTCAAGGCTGTAGTGAAGAAAATATAATAATAATAATAATAATAATAATAATAATCAATAAATTGATGATAACTATGATGAGGCTAATGCCTTATAATAATAATTAATAATAATAATAATGATAATTAACAATAACAATAGTTAAGATAACAAAAGTAATAATGACAATATTTATGATCATAATATCTAATAATTCTTTGAACATTAATCTTAATAATCCTTTTCATTAATATCATTTTCATTATTATCATTTTCAAACAACTAAATTTTGGATTATACACAAATGAAAAAAGTAAAATAGCTGTAATTATTAGCAAAGTGTCAGTGTTACCTTTTGTATAATCTTTCTCTGCTTTGTCAAATTGTTTGAGGGAAGAGTACAGGTTTCCTCTGTTGAAGTACATATGAGCAGAATGGGGGCTCAGTTTGACAGCAGCCTTGAAATCATCCAAGGCACCAGCAGAATCTCGCAGCAGCACCTAAAAGGGACAGTAAGTCATTGTAAATTATGTATCACTGGGGGATAAAAGTTGTCACTGTTGTCTGTGTTGGATTGCCTCATAGCAATTTTTACTTAAGGATTTTTTATCACAAATACTGAAAGTTCAGAAAATTCTGAAAATGTATGCTTGTGTGACTTTTCTTTAAGCAAATTTCCCTACCTTAGTAATGGCTCTGTTCAGAAGTGCTGACTCATCTTTGGGATTGAACAAAATGGCTTTGTCATAGTGAGCATGGGCCTGGAAAAATAGAGAATTAAAGGTGAAACAAAAACTTTAAATCTTAATTAAAGCATTTTGGCACAGATTAATACACATCAAAACAGATACACAAAACAAATTTTGTAAAGGTGAAATTCAATTGTACATTTTTCAGTGTATAGTGGCTGGTTTCTAAAAGTCAGCATAAGCTACATAACACCTGAGGTTACTTCTCTTTTACTTTTAAAATTAACCTGTACATCTGAAATGGGAATTTAGCATGGAGGACACTGTAACAAAATAGATCTCTCACAGAACACAACTACATTGATGTACAACCCCTTAAACCCTCCACTCCCCCCAGCCCCCTTGCCCGAGGGCTGAGCCTTTACGGACTCTACTAATATTAGTCAACTGTTAAATTTCATGCAATGGGTCTCATATTAACTGATCCTCATACCTGTTTAAACTGCCTCATTTGGAAGTAGATGTTGGCTGCATTGAAGTAGGCCAAGGCATGGGACGGGTCAATAGAGATGGCTTGCTGGTAATCTCGCATGGCATTGGCCTTGTCTCCCATAAACTGTAAAATACAAATGAAACATTAATTTGGACCAAACTACATCTTATTCAAGGCATCAACAGCATAAGAAGATGAACTCAAACCATTGAGACAACAATTTATCCAGACAACAAATATATGAAAATACAAGTATCAGGAATTGTTTTTTCTTTCAGAGGTAAGAACTAAAGAAAAACTGAACATAAAAGTACTGATGAATTAACCTGATGGACAACGCCTTAAAGATCCTCACTTACCTGATGGATGACCCCTCTGTTGGTGAGCAGTTCAGCAGAGGGCACCACCCTTACTGAGGCATTGATATCTTGGAATGCTGCAAATGTATCACTCATCTGGAGGTTGACTATAGCTCTGCCCTCTAGTGCTGGCTTGTAGTCTAAAATTATACAAAAAATAGATTCAAAATATCTTACATGGACTTAAAGTGCTGATCAGTACTAGTAGTCATTACTGTAGTGATGTGATGACATGGTACATGTTTTACAATGTATTTACACATACTGCTGGTGATAACTGTACGTGATAACTTGGTATAACAGTGTACTTTCATATAATTTTAGTCAGTGTTAACTGGTGTGATATGTGATAACTAATGGTATAACAGTGGTATACTCACATGTACTTGTAGTGATAACTGTAGTATGTGTGGTATACTTACATAGACTTAAATCAATAACCGTACTTATTGGTGAAAACTTGGTATACGAGTGCTAACCTTACATCTACATGTACATCTACATGTGATAACATTAGTGATAAGCACTTACTCGGTATAAGAGTGATATATTCACATGGGTTAGCAGTGATAACTGCATGTAGTTTTATGTGATAACTGGGTATAAGAGTGGTATGCTTACAAGGGTTAGCAGTGATAACTGCATGAAGTTTTAGGTGATAATTCAGTATAAGAGTGGTATACTTACAAGGGTTAGCAGTAAGGGCGGCAGTGAACTGTCTCCAGGCATGCATATATTTCCCACACACCTGGAGGTTGTAGGCGAGGTTCACACGCGCAGGGAGGTAGATGGGGTTCAGCTGCAGGGCACGCTCATAATCACGCCTGGAAGAATGATTTCTTATTTCAATGTGGTAGCATAAGTACACAACAAAGGTTGGTGGTACTTCAGGCAGATATCGGTTATTCATAAAAAAACTCATAATTACACTTAAGATAAAAATGGATGTGACTGAAAAAATTACCCGAAGGTGTGTTTTGTTCCTGACTGAAATTGATAAATTGTGATAGAATGTATCATTTCAATAACACTGTTGTTTGAAATTTGTGAGCAATACCCGTACCTTGCAAACTTGAGGCCAGCATCATGTCCGTAATCCATGAGGACATTACCACGACCAATGTACCCCTCTAGGAAGAACTTGTCCAGAGTCAGGGCCACTGAGAAGGCTTTCACAGCATCCTCCAAGCAGTTCAACCTGATTACACAGAAATGTGGTCAATTATGATCAATTACAGGTAAACAGGTTGGTGAAGCTACTGACCCAAAGCAGAAATTCTTTGGAAAATTTTCATTTGTCTGAATTCAATTCTACTGTCAATTGGCATGAGGACAATGTTAACTTGGAAGGCTGCCTGAACAATAAATACAGGCATTGATGACAAAGACCTATATGTTAGTGTATCTTACAACTCTAATAGTCAGACATAGGCATTCACACTTGTTTGCAACATAGTGAGACAAGAAATTTATCCCATGGACTTACTTGTGATAGCAGAGCCCTATGGTGTGGTAGATCTTGCAGTTCTTGGCATCAATCTTTGCGGCCAGCAGGAAGTCCTGCAGAGCATTTCTGTAGTCATCTCGGTCAAAGTACAGCAGACCACGATTGATCAAAACCTATCATTAGGGAAAATTAATATTATGTAACGTCCATGAATTTTTTCTGTTTACAAAATATATTTAGAGCATTGTTGCTAGTGGTAAAAACATAATGAAATTGTATTTTGGGTCACAGGCCTTGGATTACAGAATAAACATCTTTGCATCTTGTATATATAATATTTATATAAAAATTGAAAAATTACAATCAAAACCCTTATGCAACAATAGGTAAGGAGGCAAAATGTATGTTTTTTCTGCAAGCCATGATGTGTAGCAATTTTTAATTCAACTTAGTTCAAATAAAAGTTTTAACACCTTGGAGAAAAATGTTTCATAAGAAATCACCTTGAGTCTCAAAGCATCTCCTAGCAACAGAACTATCCCATAATCCTGCAGTGCCTTTGCATGGTTCTTGCTGTCATGGTAACAAACAGCTCTGTTGAAGTAGGCTAAAGCACATGTGCTGTCGATACTAGTGGCCTTGGTCAGGTCTCGTATAGCAAGCTGGTATGCCTTGATGTGGTATTTCAGGGCCCCTCTGTAAGAACAATGCTGCTGTGAATTTATGTATTCGGTTTTCAATAAATAAACCAGCCCCAAAGTATTTTGCTAAGGGTGGAATCAAAGACCATCCTCCAAGGTCTGGACCAAGGTGGAAAAAGGAAAGTTAATTGGTTAAATTAAAATTATAAAATTTTATTTGTTGTTGGGATGAATAAAAACAGTCCTGATAAAATTATTGTATCACTTGACAATCATATCACACCAGACAATACTTAAAAGAGAACTGTACCTGAACAGGTATGCCCTAACGCTGTTTGGTTGTAGTTTGATGGCTTCATTGCAGTTGAGAATGGCTTTGCTGTATTGTCCTCTCAGACCATAGTAGGCTGCTCTGCTCAGATAAACCTGAGGATTGAGACAAAGATAAAGTTATATGAAAAAGTCTTAAGGAAATCAACTGAATATATATGGATAAGAATATATCTCTTTTCAAACAGAATATCAGTGACGAAATCTGTTTTGGTCAAATAAATATGAAAATAAAATATCATAAAATTCATCATCAAGACCAATGCATTTAAGCCCTTACCTGGAATATCTTTGGATCCAATGCCAAAGCCCTGTTGAAGTCCTGAATACCTTTGCCTTGTTTTAGGCGAATTCTAGACAGTCCTCTCTGGTAGAATGCCTAAAATATGCAGCATTAAAAATAAACCCAAGTGTGCCTACATTGGTCTGAATCTGCAACTTCAGATCACAAATGATCTTACATGGTCAAAATCATTATAGAAATGGACTGAATGCTTTTAAGGTCAAAAATGATCTTACCTAGTATGAATTGATTGGTGTTTGAAATTTGCAAGTAATTTTCGTTTACAGTCTCTTACCTCAGCATTAGTGCCATCCACTTTGATGGCATTGTTAAATGCTTCATGAGCTTCAAGATAACCGCGCAGTTCCATATTACACATGCCAATCAGATAGTGCACCTCTGCAGCCTCGTGTGGCCATGAGTCTTTATCAGACCAAGGTTTCTAAAAATAACAAAAAAGTTGAGTTGTTAAAAAAGATGCAGTGGCAATGTTTTAATTATATTTTTAAGGAAATATTTACATCCATAAGTTCATCTTCATCTTTAGTTTGTTTTAAACTTTAATGATTATCACTGTCTGATCACACCTCAATCAATGTATTTGCTATCTCAGCATATCTAATATTTTCACTGAATTTTTATTTTAATTAAATTTACACAACAAAACATCTTAACTGTCTCACTATAAACATTTTTAAAGACATGAGCAATTCCCCTTTTTTCCACCAAATACATACCAAAATGCCCAGTGCCTTATCGAAGTTCCCAATGGCATTTCTCCACAGTTTGGCTTTCATTTGTGTCTTACCCAGCAGGGTGAATAAGGAAGCCACTGGCTTCTGTCTGGTGGCAGACTCCAGTGCTCCAATTGCCTAAAATAAAATTTAAAAAATGAACAAACACACAAACAAAGAAATAAATTAATACAATTTATATACTACCCTGCTCTGTGTTCACACAATGATTATTGTCGACCAGGAGTCATGCAAGTATCCAGATTATAGACAGACAACAGGGAAATGTCTAAACTATCACATCAAATTTAATCAAAACTTTTCCCATAACTCTACATGTTCTACAGTTACAACTTTCAATTTAAAAGTTTCTAAAGTCAAATAATTATGAACCGACATCTTTTCCTGGATTATTCTCATATTTGGGTGACACATAACTGACCTTGTCATAGTTCTTGAGGAAGGACTGTACCACAGCCTGCTGCATGGGGCTCTGACCCAAGCCAGCATTCAACTCTGATGCATGTCTGAAATTATCCAGTAAATAATGTTATATTCAAAATAAAATTACTACGGTCTTTTCCCTTATTTTAGTTAATTTCTTCTGTACAAAACAGATGGCACATTACCATAAATAACATCTGTCAAACATGATGATTGGACAACCACCTATGGTCCGGCACAAAATCACCATTCATGTAACCAAGGACCTTAGGTGGTGGACTGAATCATCATGTTTGACTGATGTTATTTAGTCTCTGAGTACAGAATAATTTTATTCTATCATCCCATATACACACCACAAAAACCTGTTTTAAAGAATATTGCACAAATGTGATGACATAAGTTTAAACTGATGATATACTGGTGCTCTGCCATCATTTACTAAACCATTTAATTCATTAACAGTTAAAACTGCGTGGTGGCAACAGCGACAACTTATGCAGGTGATGTTTATATGTACCATATATAAAAAAAGTATTCATTTCTTAGTACGTTTTCAGATATCACAGTTAAACAGAAACAAAAATCAGTAACTTTTCACTAGATTTACCATAGAGATGTTTATATAATCAATTATGAAGTTACCTGACACAGAAAGCTGCCAGTTCCAGGTTTCCCATCTCAAGGACAAGCTGACCCTGAAGCAAAATAGATAAAAAATTACTTTTTGTGAAAAACTTTCTCATTCATAAAAAAATGATATGTTGTGTATACCAAATATAATAATGAACTAATAACTCTCTAAGTAAAAACTTGTTAATGATTCTTTGGAAACATTATGTCAAGTAGTCAACTGTACATGCTTTCCGTGAAGCAGAAAATTAGATTAATATATATATTTACTATAAAATTGTGGATTTTCAATCATTTTATACATGAAAAAGTGAGACATATCCAAGTTTTTCATAGATGCAAATGGGTAAATCAAATTTCCCTAAATTTGAGGAATCTCCCACCCTGAGGGTCAAAGGTCGCTGAAAACTGATCCTCTCTACTGTCAGCAAGCCCATATTACAGTCTAAAACTCGGGGTGGGAATCTTCCAAAATACCCATATGATTCCTGAATCTGAATGCCAGAGATTTCTACTCACCCTGTACATATAATAGTGATGTGTATCTGGTTTCAGATGAATGGCTCTTGTGAAGTCTAACAGGGCATTTCTATGCTGGAATGAAAAAAGGAACAACAAATTGAGACACACATTCTCAAAGTGCAAGCATTATATAATGTCTAAAATCAACTTATGTTGTTTTAAACATTATAAAATCTTTGCACTTGAGAGTGCACAATTAACAGACACCACAATTAACAGAAACCATGGTATGAAATTAATATAGTAACTGTACAGATATTTATGCAGTATTAATATCTGAACAAAACTGCTATTAACTATAATTGTGTTTTTATATTTTATATATTATATTATATTATATCATTTCTGGAGATCAAAATACTGAAAGTAATTAGGTGATTTTTCACCTACAAAGCTATTTCAACACTTTAACTGCTAGTAAAGGAAAACATAGTTTGAAATAATCAGAACCCCATGAATCTTTATATTACAAACTGTTCCTTACATCATGAATCCTATGATATGCCTCAGCACGGCAGACATAAGCTCGTATATAGGTGGGATCCACTTTAATGGCAGCAGAGAACTTCCTTATGGCACTGAAAACAAGAAAATGGCATGGTTTATGAATCAGTCAAAGAATGCACTTCATATACAAAACCACTTATGCAATTTCTTACTGATTGGGTTTGCCATTCATCTGAGTTTGATGTAAATGTGTAATGCAATAAAAATATGTTGTTCTTATAATTATGCATAAATTCTGCACCAGAATACTCAAACATCTCACCTATTCCAAAATGACATTTTTTGTACGTTTTGCCATTCTTAGACACCATAACTAATAAAATAATAAATAATTAAGTAAAATAAATAAATGATTTATGATTAAGAGAAAATTACTTTTTTCTTGAGGAAAATTATATTGGGCTTGAAAATCCAGAAAAGTATACCACAAAGAAAGTCCCTACTTACTTCTGAACATTGTCCAGCTGTGTCATATAGATGAGCCCCAGGTTGACATGGGCACTGGCAATGTCCTTGTCCAGTTTTAGGACAGTCTCAAAGTCTGGGATGGCATCTTCTGGCCTGTACAATAATATAACACATGGAAATAACAGATCTATAAAATATCTGGTATAACACATGGAAATAACAGATCTATAAAATATCTGGTATAACACATGGAAATAACAGATCTATACTATAATATAATGGTAATCATAGAAAGGTACAATAATATAAGGTTTCTCCATTTCAACCTAGTAAAATCTTTGTCTGTGTCATATTATTAGAGATTGAGCTGGGTACTTTTAAAAATCAACAATAAATTTTAAAATTAAAAACAAGATTGCCAAGTACCTTCCAGTTGAGTTATAGAGAATGCCTCGATGGAAATACGCCATCACATTGGAGTCCCCATCATCCAGTATAATAGATACACTCAGGTCTTGAAGAGCTTTCTTTGGTTGCAATCTGGAAGACAGTTCAGTGGTTACAATATACTTTCAGCTTAATTTAAGGGCCAATATTAACCCTTGTATTCAAGTTTATGCTGGACAATTGCAAAGTTAACTTACTAAAACAATTTTCTGAGAATTTTGCAAATATTTTCCTCTCTAGAACTCATGACGGATCTAATCATATTTTAATGAACAACACTCTAGCCTTTGCCCCAAATATTATCAAGATGTCAGATGGAGTACAGAGAAGAGACCCCTTACTTTCTGAGAAGGCATCCCCTATGATAATGTGCCACACTGTTATTGGGATCCAGGTGAATGGCAGCACTGAGGTCTTCTATGGCTGGGGTCCATTGAGACATTTTGGCAAAGGCGCGTCCACGATATGTCCTGGCCTCTGCATTGTTTGGTTCCACCTTTAGTAGGTCTGTAAAGTCATTTATACAAGGCTGCCAGTTTCTGAAAAAAAAGATATTTTTAATAAAATATCTATATGAAATAGTCAAATTATCAACCGTATACAATATGAAGCAGATGGGTCTCCCAAATGCCTGTGAATTCAGTGTCATCAATATATTAAATATAAAAAAAATCAAATTTCAGAATCTACTATAGAAGTACATTCAAACTATGGAACATAATGATAACAGATTATGGATACTTACTGACTGTTGAAATAATAGAGTCCATGTTTGAACAAGGCCTCGGTCTTCTCTGGAGCCAGTCTGGTAGCAATGGCATAATCTTCCAATGCTAGACGCATCTCTCCACTCTAAAACATACAGACAACAGAATTGTGCTTTTTTCACCCCATATTTACAATGATACAAATGCATACATAGACACATATGTATATGTGTTGCACATGTGTCATAAATACGCCCTATCAACTACAAACTCTACTACGTACTGCTACTGCATGAACCCCAATATATAAGAAAATACATTTCCAATAGTTGTTACCTTTTCATACATCTCTGCCCTCCTGTAGTAAGCCTCATGGTCATTAGGGTCGAGCTTTATAGCCTGATTGAAATTGACTATCGCCATGGTTACATCTCCAGACTCACGGTAGATTTCAGCTCTGAAATGTACCAGAAATTCAATTCATTAAAATAACATAAAATTTATTTTCTATAAGACAGGATAATATATGAAAAATGCAAATATTCTTGATCACCACAACGACTACTAGTATTCCTCTCTCACCTTGACCTGTAAGCCCCTGCATGCTGCTTGCTGTGCCGCAATAGGAAGTTGAGATCTTCCAGCGCATCGTTTTTCTTCCCCTTCAATAAATGCAGCAGATGCCTGTGCCAGTAAGCATCCAGTAACATAGGCTCTAAGGCTATAGCTCTGTCCAGGTCCTCCAGGCCCAACTTAATCTGACCAAGCTGAAAATGTTATGTATAGACTCAGTATTTGTCACATGTTGCACTACGGTATGCTCTTGTTGGCTGCCCAAAAATGTCATTACAGTTGTTTTTAGATGAAAGCATGGCATTACCTAAAATTTATTTCTGGAGGTCCAAATTTGTCCTCACAGTCATAAAATTAAACTTAATTTCTTTCAGACTGCCAATAACACACACACAAAAGAAAAATAAATAAATAAATAAATAAATAAATAAATAAATAAATAAATAAATAAATAAATAAATATTGTTGATAATAAAGATTGCTTATTAAAAAAAATTCAATGAATGACTTAATACAGCATATCCCTCACCTTCCTATATATGGCCCCCCTCCTGCAGAGATCAAAGGCAGTGGGAGTTGGGCTCTGGCTTATAAGCTCACTTAATTTCTCAACTTCATCCTGGAGCAGCTGAAAATAGAAGAACAAGGATGTAAAAACATTGTTTCAATTATTTATTGGTTAGTATTGTATGATAAGAATACACCATGCTTACTAACTTTAAACTTTTAAATCCACAAATAAAAAACATCAAAATTTTGCTTCTCAAAAAAGGAAAAAATCCACATTATAATATTAAATTCAAAATAGTCACACATTGTTTAGCATACTGTACACTGGACTTACTAAAATAGCTTCTGCATTTTCTTCAGTATCTGCCAGTGGTTCAATTTCATCAATCACCTCAGAGATGTGGGTGCTTACAACACTGGCATGCCTGGCAGGAGAAAATAAATATGTAAATAAATAAGACTAATACCTATCTTGACTACTTGACAAGAACAGGCACAAAATATAATGGTAGTCTTAAAGAATACAGTATATAAGTGAAGGTTCCACAAAAGTAAATATATTTCAGTCAAAAATAAATTACATGAAACAGCTTAAACTTTTCAATATGAAATTTTCAAAAATGTCTGATTTAAAATGTCCCACTCACCCCTTAGAGCGTACACTTCTGTCTGTGGTGCTGGACATGGCGCTCATGGCTCTGGCCTCATCCTCATCTCTCTCACTCTGCGTGGGTGGAAATACCTCATCAAACCAAGCATTCCAGATATCTCGAGTCCATTCTCTTTCATCTTCTCCTCTAGAAATAACAGTAAAAATAATACCATGAAAAGGTTAGTTTTACTCTCTTTGTCCCTTTTTTTTTTGCATAAGATGGCAATATAATCACTTTCATTTTTACTTATTCTCTGCTCTGAACTATATAAAAATATTCACTTTTTTTAGTTTTTATGTTTTCTCCAGGAGACCTCTAAAATAATTTCAGATTTATCATAAGCATGTTGATTGGTACTGATTCTCAGGTCTAATAAATAATTCTCAATACTTTTTTTCAATTGAAATTATGAAACTGAAACTTTTAAGTCAATTCCTTCATATGAATCAACAAAATCAAAAATTAAGGAACTACTTTGAACTTACTTGTATCCTCTTTTTTCAGCAAAGGAATCAAAATCCAGTATATCTGGTATACTTCTTCTATGCTTGTTTTTCACATACCTAAAAGTCAAAGCATGAAAATATCGATTGGTTTGGTTTAGTAGAGGAAAATGCATAATTTCACATAAAACCTTTCTTTCATAATGTTTTTTCACCTACACACAATCCAATATAATTACACATGGTTCTTAATTTAGTTAAATCTATTTTTCATTTTTCAACAATTACACTGAGTTGTATAAAACAGACACAAATCTTATAAAAAAATTATAACCTACACAGAGATTCTACTTCTTCCATATTTACATAAAAATATATCTCAGTTACAACTCACTGAGGCACTCGTAGCAGCCTCTCAACTGGCACATTGACTTTGGGCAGTGATTCTGTTCTCTCCAGTTTTCCAGGAGGCATGGCCAGGAATCTCTCTATCTCCTCCAGTCTGGCCATGTCCAGGGGCACCATCTTCTTCTTCTTTCTAAACACAATACAAATGACTTATAAGTCTAAAATCTACATTCAAATTTTTATACAAGCAATTAAGATGGCAAAAATAGTATCACGAAACCACAGATTAATGGTTATTTCAATAAATGAAAGAAAAAAATCCATAAATGTCAGACCAAATTTTAAAATGTCACCACAGAAAAATTCAACAATCAAAACAATATCAACTAACTTTACTATGAACAAAACACAGTAATCTCTTTCACAATGATATCCACATGAAACAGACATCTATATCTATTAAAATATCTGAAATATAATGAAATTTCAAAATCTTATCCCAGATCTCCAACTGAAGAGCAGGGTTCATAATTTATTTGAAATATATAATTACAAAATTCAAGATAAAAACAGCTGCTATAATAAATATTGCCTCTCACCTTTTTGGGTACATGACATATTTTCTCCCCGCTTCCAAGGCCTCTTCAGCAAGAGTGGGCTTGTCATCATATTCTGAGGGAAAAAATATGTGCACCGATAAATATGCATTCCTGATGTACCATTAAATAATTCATAATCAACATATTGTTAATTTATAGAAAGTTATTATAATCATTATTATTATTAGAAGTGGCTGTAGAAGTAGCAGTTGTAGTGAATATAAACTAAAACAAAACACAAGATTTTACAATAATGACTGATAAAAAAAATTAATTTCATTTTTAAATCAATATTTCATCAACATCCTCTGACTTTCTCAAAATTGTTTCAATTTCAAAACTTCTAGCAATAACCAACTTTTTTGCAGCTATATGCTAATTTAATCAAATCACACAGTGTCCCTACCCTGTTTTCTGGTATATACCCTCTGCTCTGTGGTGGGACTTCTTGTCCTTGCAACACCAGTCTTGGCACCTGACTCCTAGAATACATAATAGAAAGACTCTGTTACACACATATAAACAATATGTAAAATACAACATTTTTAATACACCTCTGAAAGGGCCCAGCAAGAAAGGGAAAATTTGTACCTTTATAAAGAGGTACAAAAACAAAATCCTAGATTTGGTTATATATTATTAATAAGCAGGCCATGATAACTTTAATAAGCTTAATGTTTTTATTCTATTGTAACAATACTGTTACAGTAACACATGTTATCTTTGTAAATAATTTAGTTACTTCACTTGTCTAGATTAAAAATCATCAAAAAGCATCCACATACACTCTCAATAACTTCTTCTGGCAGTTGTTGAACTGGTGTTTTCTTGCCAAGTTTTGCTTCTTTGATCTGTTTCATTTGCTTTGTAATCTAAAAAGAAGAGAAAATATATTGTTAAAACAAAATATATATATAAATATGCCTTATTATCTATTCAATAAAATGTGTAAAACTGTATGTATTTGCAAGTGTGTGTGCATGCACATGTATGCAGTGTTGCATCTATTTGTGATGTTTTCTTATCATCTACTTAATAATTAAAGGGATAATAACTCTTCCTTTCGGCCAAAAAATGAATTTTCCTGAAGTAAACAACAATTTTCCCATACTTACCAATGGTTAATGAATCCATTTTTACATTCAAAGTTAGTCCCTGGTTTTTTTCTAAAAAGTTTGGTTTTTTGTTAAAATCTCTTAAGAGATTTTAACAGAGTATAGCCATCAATGGAGGTCACGTGGTCTAAAGACAAGCTCAGATATCAGAATAATAGCTATAACTGCCGTTTTTGTGGTAAAACAGAATATATTATATTTCTATGAGTTATTCACAATGTTTTTATTGTGAAATATAGATCTCATACGAAGAGTTATTATCCCTTTAAATATCTACCTGTATATGCAAGTGCGTATCTGTATGTACTTGCAATGCCTCTGTGTTATATTTCTTAATGACCTACACCAACAAATGTGCACAGATGCATTCAATACCATGCTTATATACATGCACATGTGGAAATGTGTGCCTGTATATGGTCGACATTTCCTACTCACCTCATCCATAGCTGTACTGAAATCTTGCGGTATAAACAGGAAGTCCTCATCATCCCCATAGAGATTGGGCATAGAATTTGTCCTCCTATACAAAAGAAAGAGCAGGGGAGAAAGAGGAAAAAAGATGTGAATTTCATAATAAGACAAATACATGTTTTTGTGAGTTTGTTAAAGATCTGAATGATCATGATCATTTTCTGGGGCAAGAAAATAATGGAAGTCTGGATCTCATTTATTTTTCTAATTGCAACAGGAATATACTGCAAATCAAGACCAAGGCTGGCACATGTTCAGGTGATGAATCAGAATCAATTAAGTCTGGATAAAATAAATAATTAAAATTAAAATTTCTTCAAAATTTCAGCCATATTCACAATAACAGTCTGTTTATAAAAATAATATATGTGAATGCCACAGAATAAGTTTTGTTTTTACTTCAAATATAATGAAGCAAAAGACAAAACTTAACATACCTTGGCTTTGGGAACACTGGAAATATCTCATCATCAGTTAGAAATTTGGGAGTTTTATCTTCTTCTTCTAAAAAGACAAAAAAAAAAAATCAATTACAATTACTGACACACACATATGTAGTTACCCATGCATTCAAACACCAGTACACACACACATGCACGCATGCACACACACACACACACACACACACACACACACACACACACACACACACACACACACACACACACACACACACACACACACA